TAGCACTTGTCTACGGACACTTTTCAACACAGAGTTAGCTCTCCTTTTCTCTACACTCCATATTTTGAACTCTAAGGCTCAAGTTTATTGTATCTGTGTTTATCCTATTTATTCCCCCTAACAACAAATTCAGCAAAAAATGTAATAAAGAGTGCTGTAGCTCATTTCATTTAAAATTATTTGCACTGGCTATATCATTTTGTGATTTGGTTGTTCAGTGGCACAATGGTAAGGTGGTTGACTGCAGACCATAGGTTTGAATCCCATATGGGTAAGGTTTGAAATTAAGTCGCCTGAATTAGGGAGTGAGGGTTGACGGGGAGGGAGCCAGCGGAGTTGTAGAGTCGCCCCCTACTTCTACCCCCTGCTGGACATGCTTAGTTTTCTTTTTATAAATTTTTAAAAATCTAACTTTTAGGTTATAATTTCATAATGTTTTTGACTATAAACATCATTTATGGGTGGAGAGAGTTGGGGGAGGGAAGCACCATGCCACTCAACGTAGCACATTCGAGGAAAGCCTGGTTGACAGTTGATTACTTCTTAGTGGATTATAAAAATTAACCACCAAGGGGATGGCTGGGTCTATTTACTTGCTCACTCGACCTCTCCATCCCCTTCTAACCTAACTTGTCCGAGTCGGGTGCCCTAAGTACCGAGTTTGCTTCACTCGCTCTTACACTCAGTAAAACACCAAAATATTACTTTTTATAATTATTTTAAATTATAAATATTATTTATAGCTACAATGATTTGTAAAAAAGGATCCACAGGAGTAGCGAAGTCGTTGAAAAACAGGTGGAGGTAGATAAAAACGTTAGGGAGCACATTCATGTAAACTCGGAAACAACGGAATGACGTAAAGTATATCTAACACTGTCAGGCTTAGCGATTCATTTTACCCATTTTAAGATGACTGACAGATGCAGCGTCAAAAACGTTAGAACTTAGTTAAATGTACATTCCATTTCACATTTAGTTAGTGATTTACGAATATTTTTAAAAAGATATTAAACATTATTCGACGCTTCTCTGGCAGCAAAAATCGCATGGGGCTTCAGATAGAACCTCTTGACCCCCCACAGTGACAGAAACCCCAAATTCAGTCAACCTAACTTCAAACCCAACTCTCATATTATATAGAAATAACTGTTTGTCAAAAATAATTTTTTTCTGGGTTTGTACGTTTACTCATATGAAGTTTCTGTTTGTAAAACACCTCCAGGATTTGGTTGATGTCACAAGGAGCTGGAGCTCCAAAATATCACCTAGCAGCTTTGGACTCAATCGAAAGGCATGCTTAGTGTTATTAGTAATTATATCAGTCACAAGTACAGGTGCAAATTAGCCAGCCTTTTAGTAATTTACAGTATACATTGCAGAGTGTGTACAGTTTTGCATTATTCAATTCCTTTCTCTCCCTTCAACTTTTAAGCACCAGATTCATGGACAGTCTCTACCCCTTTGTTGTTGACGTACCACTAATTTAAGCAAAATAGTTTGCTTCATAGTTTTTAATATGTAAACAGTTATTGAAATAAAATAATTGGCAGCAACAATTATTCAACCTGTTTATAATGTGGTTGTTTTCGAGACAAGAATTAATAGATGAAGAAAAGGGATGAATAGGCCTAAATCAATGAAATTTATCATCTTTGCCTACATCACCATTTACCATCATATGGGATAATACTCTAGCACTGATTTTTATATACTTTAAAAAATATATGAAAAATTCTTGAATGTTTTTAATATTTTAATATAGTCTTAGAATATACTGGTGTATAGATGGACATAGTGTGTGAGAAGAAAATTGCTTAAAAAGGATACCAAAATCCCATGACTCTGTAACCCATTTTGAATGGCGTAGGTCAGCACAAGCCGCCACGCAAGAAATAAGCTTTTAGGTATTTTGTAATTTTATAGATTATTATAGTGTTAATTTTTGTAATTCATAGTATTCCAAAATGGTTACATATTCCGTGAGTAACTGTGGTGTCAATAATAGAAATAATCCTCATTGCTGCATATTTTACAGTTAAATTCGCAAGATGTCGTTACTGTTATGACACATGTATTTTTGGTTAAAAGTTATGTTATATACTGTTTAAATTATACAATATTTTATTAATTTTAATATTTTGCAAAGAAAAAACTCATGTTGTTGATAATTTGTATGATTTTGGTATATATTTTATATGTACACTAGGGATTGACTCAACTATATAAAAATTAATGTCGATATTTATATTGAATGTTTATTAAGAATCGATAGAATTGCAAATACAATAAAAAAAGGATTGAAATTACATCTAGATTTGCGTTCTAAAAATGGAAGATAAAAGAAAGAAGAGTCAAGCTTAAAGTGTCATTTATTGTTCTGGGCATTCAGTTGCATGAGATTATGATCAAGCATTACCTTGCCATAGGTAAATAAGTAATTTTAATATGCTTAATTAGTTTACTAAATACAGGAGTAAAGTTCTTAAAACAATACAATTTCCATTTTATATAATCTTAAATAGTTCAAGTATTTTAATTATATTTTTAGCATTGACTAAAGACTACCTTCATGCAATCTTTATATACTTGACCAAACATTCTTTATCATTTTCGTAACTTAATGACTAGAAGTCCACAGGTTGCAGTGGCTACTTACCTTTAGCTGGACTACAAGATCAATGGTCATCATCATCATTATCATTACAGCCCTTCACAAGTCCACCGCTGAACATAGGCCTCCCCCCAAGTAATGCCACAAATCACGGTCCTGAGCCACCTGCATCCATCGACTTCCTGCGATGGCTATCCAAGTACAGAACCAGAGTTCGAAACCTATCCAACTGCAGAGAGGTGTAAGACAGGGTGATGTTATATCCCCGAAACTCTTCACCGCTGCGTTGGAAGATGTTTTCAAGCTACTGGACTGGAAAGGATACGGTATTAATATCAATGGCGAGTACATTACTCGCCTTCGATTTGCCGACGATATAGTCCTTATGGCAGAATCGCTGGAGGACCTTAGCACTATGCTCAATGACCTCAATGGTGTCTCCCAATAGATAGGTCTTAAGAAGTACACGGACAAAACAAAGATCATGTGTAATGTCCATGTCACACCTATGCCGGTAGTTGTTGGGAGCACTATGCTCGAAGTTGTTGATGAGTATGTTTACCAGGGACAAATAGTCCGACTAGGTAAGTCCAACTTCGACCGAGAGGTCAATCGACGAATTCAACTCGGCTGGGCAGCGTTCGGGAAATTACGACACATCTTCTCGTCAGGTATACCTCAATCTCTGAAAACTAAAGTGTATCACCAGTGCGTGTTGCCAGTGATGACTTACGGATCTGAGACGTGGTCCTTCACTGCTGACCGTATGAGACGCTCAAGGTCGCTCAGCGAGCTATGAGAGAGGCTATGCTCGGAGTTTCTCTGCGTGATAGACTCAGAAATGAGGATATCCGCAGTAAAACCAGAGTGACCGACATAGCCCAACGGATTAGTAAGCTGAAGTGGCAATGGGCCGGCCATGTAGCTCGAAGAACCGATAACCGATGGGGAAGAAAAGTGTAGGGCGACCCCCCACTTATTGGAGTGACGACCTGGTAAGATATGCAGGATCAATGGTCACTCACACTTAAAAATAATTGTTAGCAATCTGATATGCCATTACCACAGGTAAAACTGGAATGAGGCTTTATAATATCCATTACCACTATCACAGTTTACAACCTGTCAAGAGTTCACTTTTGAACATAGGTCGCCTCCTATTTCAGTTACTTCTGTTACTTCTTAAAAAACTGAGGAGATAAAATGAAGTGGTGTGTATTCTTATCCTGCCACTACATTAATACCTTAAATTATAATAAAGTCATAATTTAAATGTTATATCTTGTTAGGTTTTGTCTTTGCCTCTAAATCTTGGGCTGTTACAGAGTTGCTTTGCAAGAGGCACTTGATGAAAATGAAAAGCTGCGCAAAATAATTGAAGATCTTAAGCAGGAAAATGTCCTTTACAAGCAGATGTTGGATGAAGCTAACAGTTTTGTTGAAGTTATAAAGGTACACTTTAGCATAATGTATCATGTCATATTTGTTTGTATAATGTGTAATGAATGTCGTTCACAATAGAAAAATCTTAATTTTTTACGAATAATTAATAAACTATAGTTATCTTTAAATTATTATTCTGTTTAGTCTTCTGGGTAACAGGCATGAGAATGTATGTATATTTACCAAGGCAAGAAGTTGAAACAACTAGTACATGCCTGTCATCTGATCATCTTGTTATTCAACACCAGTTTTTCTTATTGCTGATTAAAAGTTTTTGTCCAGCTGGTTTTTAATGTGAATTAGTTTTAAAAAAGCTAGTTCATTATTAATTTGTACACTTTATCTAATAAAACATATTCTTTCTTATTTAGAAGAAAATACAGGGAGAATAGCTGATGAAACTTAATATTATTAAGGAGTGTAATTTGTTTCTTTGTATTTCAGGAGGAATTGGCTAATAGCAGTAATAATGACACAGGTATAGATGTTAATGATGTCAGCCAATCTGACACTACACAAGAAGACACATTAAATGTTACAGAATCTGCGGACGACAAAGATAAATAACATGTTCTTTGACAAAACAGTTCTATGAAATTTTTATTGGTACAAAATGCTTTGTAATTGACTATAACCCTCAAATCAAGCAAATAATTTGAGAAATAATGTATAAGTTTTTTTTTGCTAGTTTTCTGTAATTTTTTGTTTTAATAATCTAGGTACTTTGGTTTTGATTTATTAGTCTGAAAGTATAAAAATGTGTTTCTACTAAATTATTTTCTCGATTATTTTTTATTTTCTAGTATGTAGTTTTTTTTCTCCTCAGGTCTATTTGTAATATGTAAGTCTAAAAGTTTTCAATAAATAAAACCTAAAAAATTATTTAATTATTTAATACATTTCACATAATTGTGTGTACTTAATACTACTGGCAAGTTTGTATTTATATAATATTGTTTGAGTATTCTTTGTTCAAAAAAGCTTTAAAATTCTCATCAAAATTTGTTTCATATGTCCAAGGCATTAAATCGGGATACATAGTTATATCTCTAAGTACATTCACTTCAGCATTTTGGGGCAATACACTTCTTACTTTCTGATTGAGACAACCAGAAACATGTATATAATGGTTGACTATTAATTTGTATATAAAATTTACGTATTTAAAATCCAGATTATCATTAGTACTAGGAACCCTTGGTGTGTGCGAGTTTATTTCATTTAAATATCCAGTTGTTATTATTGGTACTATGAAATCCGCCTGAAATATAAATTATAAATAAATTAGTAATCTATTAACAATATAATTCTTAAAATATATTATTCATTGCCTTTTTACGGAAAGAAAAACTAACAAGCATTGAGCAAAGTTAAGCCCGGTTTACATTTTGGGAAGTGACAAGTGATAAGCTAAGTGTGAAATGAAAAGTAACAAGTGAATAGCAGCCTGCTCTATTCTCTGACAAGTATCTCTGCCCCGCGCTAACAATCGCCCACCGCCGCAATTGGTATTTGAGTAATAACAATTTTCAAACAACAAACAACAAAATAGGCAACAATCAAAATCGAATTAAGTAAGGAACAGTAAATATATCAACATGGGGTGACATTTTATGGTTAATAAATACACATTTTTAAATTAGATTAAGTTAAATAAAATGTTACTGCTATACCTTCTCAAAGTATTCTCTTATGAACTTTTCGGGGTTTTGATAAACTTCATCTCGCCTCTCATTAAGAATAACTATAGTGACACCAGAAATATCTGTCCAATTGTCAACATATTGCTTTATATTAGCAGCAGTTTGTAAACCATCCTCAGTGAATGTTAAAAATAAAATTGGTTGTTCATTTTCTCTTTTCTTTACATCAGCTTTGATGGGTGGTCTTAAGGTAGGTTTATTAGGCTCTTTGCCTTTTACAATTATATTTTTATTTAAGGCTGGTGGTAAATCATTTGTAAGATTTTTCGTGAAACTTACAATTTCTTTTGTACCACTAGTTTTGCCTGTGCTATGGTAGCCACTATCATCTTTATTGAAACATTGGGCCATATCACAGAATGGATCCTCAATAGCTTTTAATATATCATATCGTTTCATTTTGACTAAAGCATCCAAAACCTTATCAAGTGTTGCCTTTTCATTTTGCATAAAAACCTTTAGGACTGTGTCAGCTGGGTCTTCTCTAACAGTATTCATGATGTACTAAAACAGATTTGTGAATTCAAAAATAAATTTTACTTTGCTGTTACATAGATTAGGGGCAATTCTTATATCACTTTGGGTTTTAGGATAAACTTTTAGAATCTGTTTAATAATAAAATAAGATAATTAGAGACTATAGTTATAGAAAGGTAAAAATATTATACACATTACACATGCACAATTGAGTGAAATTATACATGTAACATAGTTCCCTCCCCCCTCTATAATGATCTGACCCTCTTCCCCCCTGTCGAACCTCATGATAGTGTTACGAGCTTGAGGTTCGTGACAATAAAAATTGCCGAAATTAAAAATTACACTAAATTAAACAACAACACTTTATCGCTCCAAGCTGGCAACAACACACCATTTACAAGAAGCGTGAACCCACAAGAAAGGAGGCGCTAGTGTATCGTCGACTTGAGCGCGTAACACTGCCCCCTCCTAAGACATGCTCGTCCCGAGCATTATCGGCCCCATAATAACGCGCCAAGCGATCCACATGGACGATCTTAGGAGTCCCTCTTGCGCCTTTCTGTAACGGCTCCGCAATGTCAAGGGCTGTTCTATCCCGTGGTGCACCAACATTGTACAATTTCGGTGCTCCTCTACTACGTGTCTGAGGTCCCCGCACGGCCGCACAACTTGTACACGTACGACACCAATCCTCGACATCGTCACGATAATGGACCCAGTAAAACGGTTCTCGGACCTTCAGTAGAGTTCGTTTAACTCCCAGATGGACTCTTGAACGACCATTATGGCACAGCTGTAGAACATTCGGTACTTTAGCTTTAGGGACAACCATTTGCAAACGACAGCTGTCCCTTCGACCATTGTCCCATTTACGGCACAGGACTCCATCCTGAATCAGCAAGCTGTCCCATTGGGCCCAATAGCTTTTCGTGGTTGAACTCATCGCTGAGACGTCCCTCCACTTAGGCTTGGTAGCACAGGCCTTCATCCATCCCAGAATCGGCTTGATGTCCGGATCTTCCTGCTGTGCATGTCGTAGGCTGTCCTTCCACCCGTTGCTGAGGTGGTCTGTCCTGAGCATCCTCACGGATACCACTTCCTTACTCTCTTGCCTACTACAATGGTTGCAATCTTCAGGACAAGGTCTTCTTGTCAATGCATCTGCGTTGCCGTGAGATTTCCCGCTGCAGTGTCTGATAGTAAAGTCGTATTCCTGCTGCTGCTGGGCGGTGCTGTTAGCCGCACTTCCTTTCTGAGACCGTTCACCTTCCCTTCCTAGGGTGTGCTTAGGGCAGCTGGACCGAAGATGGCCCCTTTCCCCACAGCCATAGCACCTAGGGCTGTATCCTTTGCTGCGGTCACGGACTGTAGCTGCTGCAACCTCCCTGACGCGATGGGAACGATGATCCTGCCGCACGGCTTCTACCTCCAGTGCATGGGCCAAGGCGTCCTTAAGCGTCTCGTGGTGCCCGAGCCTCACAGCAGCTCTGACTTCCAGGTCACGGATGCCGTCGATGAATGTCTGCACCAGGTTCCCTTCAATGAGCGCAGGTACAGACCGGTATGCTTTTCGCACCAGCTTCTCCACCTCTAGAGCCCACTGCTGCAGGTTTTCGTTGATGCGCTGCACGCGATCTTTAAGCTGCGCACGAAAGACGTGTTCCAGGTGAGCGTCGCCATATCTCGCCTCCAATGCCTCAAGGAGTTGCTCATAAGTCACTTCCTCACCGAGAGCTTCCAGAACTGTTAAGGCCTGATCGCGCAGGCCTAGTGTGAGAGCAGTCATGGCCTGATTTTTATTCCAGCCGTTCGCCTTCATAACAGCTTCGAACTGGATTTTGTAGGCTGACCAGGAAGAAGTCCCGTCGAACGGTGGTACCTTGAACCCACGTAGCGAAGGTGTAGTAGCTACTGCGGGGGCTGCAATTCCATCTCCAAGTTTGAGTTCATCCAGCGTTTTCTTAACTTGGTTGATTTGGGTCTCAGCTTCCGACAGGCGGTTATCATGTTGAGCAACCTTATCCTTCACCTCCCTTATCTCTTTCCCGAAGGTAGCGTGAAGGTCCTTCATGAGAAGCATCTGCTCTTCCCTATCGCGTTTGAGCTGCTCTTCTAAGCGACGGGCCTGTTCCTCCTGCCGGCGGGCCTGTTCCTCCTGTCCGCCTCGCAGCTGCTCTTCCAAACGACGGACCTGTTCCTCCTGTCGGCGGGCCTGTTCCTCTCGTCCGCGCTGCAGCTGCTCCTGTAGCATCGCCATCAGAGCACCTAAGTCAGGTGCTGCAGATGTAGGAGCTAATGACGGGCCCGCAGCCTCCGTGGCTGGCAGTTGGCCCTCCGACGTCTGCGCCGTTGCACCACCAAATCTCCGCTGGTCCGTCTCATGCTGGCGTTGACTGCGGGTACTGACATCCTCCGTTTCCTCCTTAGGTAAAATTGGCATGATTTTATCCCACTTCTGACACCAATTGTTACGAGCTTGAGGTTCGTGACAATAAAAATTGCCGATAAAATTACCTAAATTAACACTTTAATTTACTTTATACAAATTAAAGTTAAAAACACTAATAATTAAACACACTAATTCACTTTATTCCGCTCCGAAGCTTCGCTTGTCTCGCCAAATCAACACTACCCCGATCGCATCTTGCAGCGCCTATTTATATAATTAGCAAAGAAGCGTCCCGAACATTCAAGTAAATGCGCGCCAGGCAACGAGTATTCGAGTGTAGATTTTCCAGAAACTTAGTTCTTCGGGTGGCGCTGTCGGTCGAGTGATTTGTGATGTCATTTTCTCAATGCTCCCCTCGCTCTCGTTCCTGACACTAGATGGCGCTAGTGTATTGTCGACTTGAGCGCGTAACAATAGTCTTATTTTAGGAGATAAACACTATATTTTGCTTATGTACTGTGCAGTTGTGAAAATAAGTGATATGGTTTTTCAGTTTACAATTTGTGGAAGTCCACAACTCCTTCATCACCATTCTTTCAGTTATTTTAATTATTCTATGAGACAAAAAGTGAGATTTCTTATAGATTATAACAAATTTAAAAGTCCGTTTAAATTGCAATTACATAACCACTTGAATGTCCAAGCGACGTGGCAAATAGCCTTGAAATCCCCGTGCCGCTCGTGCCAGTTTTTATTTTCTGAAATCTAGCTGAAAAACCTAATATTTTTTTAGTTTATTTGATAATATCGCAGAATCATTTTATTTCTATATTTTTATTGTACCATAATTAAAAAATATGATCTACCCTATCCAATAATACCAATAACCTTATATAAATATTAAGTAAAAGTTAAAGTATAGTGTTAAGTTAAAGTTACGTCCCACTCCTGGGCACAGATCTCCACTCATTTCTGAGGGTTTAGGGCAAGGAAGTATCCGCTGCACTGCCCCATGTGTGTTGGCGCACTTCACATGTCTCAGTAATATTTTTTTTACTCAAACATGCAGGTTTCCTCACAATGTTTTCCTTCACTGCCGAGCATGTGGTTAATCAGCACTTAAAATTACAATTAACAATTACATTGGTGCCGGCGGGGATCGAACCACGGTTACTCGCATTCTGTTATATTTATAGTGAACATTAACCATCTGAGCTACCATGGCTCTTAATATATTATATTAAGTACTATGCAAAAATATCTATAATATCAACATACTCCATTCTAGTCTGATCTTCCGGGCGGCTATAAAATGTGGCAAACTAGTATTATTTTAAAATTTATATTTATAAGGATCCAATCATACCAATCCCCTTTGGTAATGTTCGTTCAATGGTATGTAGACACTTCACTAATCAACACGCTCAGCTTTGGAAAAATCTAGTAGACTGTAGACAAGCTAGGGAGGCCCTACCTGTAATAAACAGTCGCTTAACCAAAGTTCTAATGAGACTGAACAAGCCGCAGATCAGGATAGTAACAAGTGCTATCACAGGACACGGCACCTTTAACAAACATTTATTTACTATAGGTGTTACAGATAGTCCCCTGTGCAGGGCATGTATGGGGGAGGAAGAAACGGCGGCCCACGTGCTACTGAAATGTCCGGAGGTCGCTACGTACAGGGCTAAACATCTCGGCACGCCGGGATCACTCCCCCGAAGTTGCATGCAACATCAAGGGACTGTTGAGCTTCTTCGGGGAGATCCCATGGCTCGAATAATCACATTATTCCTGCCCACACGCAAAATACGCGCATAGAAGTGGAGTTGCGGAAAACAGCCCGTCGCTAAACTAAAACTAAACTATTTATAAGGATTTATTTTTTGTATTATTATTTTTATATTTATAAGAAATATTTTATTAAAATAATTAATATATATTACAAAAACTTAACGAAAAACCGCCCTAATGTTCAACTGGAAAAAATATTAGGCAACTGTCATCGCCCGGACGTTTGAGTGGTTAATTTCATAAGATAAATTTACTATTATTCATATAAAATTTACTCACAGCCAAGTCATCTTGGGATAGACCTAATAAATAACCAAGATCCCTCCATGTGTTTGGTGTACCTCCAATTTTTTTAACTAATGTTCTCCATGCTTCGTGGCAAGTAACTCCTAACTTAGTTTTTGCATTTCTGTAGTATAGTACACTTGTGTGAAGATAACTAACTTTTGGACTAAGTGCATTAAGTTCTGATATTTCTCGTGTTCTTTCTTCTTGCACAGCTTCTTCAAGAGCCAATGTGTCAATACTGATTGTGTCTGCATTTTCATAATCTTTTACATAATCCCTGGAATTCAAATAATATTTGAAATAAAACTAAAAATGAGTATCACTGAAACAAAACATTTTAGTACACAATACATACTGACATTCCAGAATTAAAATTTAAGAATAGCTAAATGTAAATAACACAAAAGAATATCACTGTTAAAATGTAGGGTAAATAAATAAATCATTGGATATAAGTAAAACCCTTTGAGCATAGATTCTATGCTCAAAGGTAAAACCACGTACGATATATTACTTTCCTCTATGTAAAACCAATGCCAGTTTTTGTCATAAATATAGTACTATGCTCCGGAGTTTGTACTATCTCTATGGTTTTTGTTTCATGTCAACGTAGGGATGGACAATAAAAAAAATATCGATATTTCGTCATATTTTGCATGATGTAGTAAGATGAAGGCCAAAATTTTATTACAGGACGTTTTGCCGACGAAAAAGAAAAACAACAGCGAATTAATTCTTTTATTTTGTCCGTTAAATTATAGAATAAACAAGATTTTAAAATATATCGAAATTGATACGAAATCGGTGCTTTAAAATAAATAGCGATATTTTTTACCCAAGCCTATGCAATGTTACAGCTGATTAATCACAGTCATAGCACTTCTTGCAAATGAACCACATATCTATTTATCTATGAAATGAACAAGAAACAAAGTTCATACTTGCTGGATTACTTGAGTTAGTTAAGTATATCCGAAAAGAATACTTGTCAGCATTTTACTTAGATTACTACAGCTAATTGTAGGTTCACTCTATGTATACATTATATTCAATATATGTGCATATAGAGAAAATCACGTCTTGGGAGAGAGGCCTATATCCATCAGTAGACAGACTGCCGCAGGCTGATGATAATAGAGGAAATCTATAATTCTACATAAAGGTAGCCAATATACTTCGCTTTTTCTATTTCAATTTTTAAATAAAGCAAGAAGAGACAAACTTACTTATAGACGTTGCGTATAATTCGTGCGTGGCGTTTGAAATTTCAAGTGGTCAGCTTTTTACACTACCAAATATGGGGCCATGTCATTATTATTATACACCTTCCTTCCTTTTTCCGTTTCATAGACACCGCAATTAATGTGCCAGTGATAGTGCAGAAAAAATCTATAAAGTTATTAAGCTTATGAGATTATGATTAATCTGATTAATATAACACTTATTATAATCAATAAACGTAAGTTAAAGCTTGAGAGATCTGACAACAAAAACGTAGTCGAATAATGCAGAATTTCTCACTATCGTCGTTATTTTAAATATGTATACTGTTGAAAAGGTCACTAAAGGTCAGCCGGTATGCTTCTACTAATTTATCTCTATCCTCATAATGGGTTTTACAGCAAAAAATTAACTGTAAAAATGGAACAGAGTACAAAAGAGCAGAGGAGAGCCACCACCACCTATGACTAAGATATTAGAAATATCGCGACACGACCACGGTCTGCCTCCTTTTTTCTTTCTTCACTACAACTACCAACAAATCGATTTAAAAAAAATAATAAGGGTGACAAACGAACACATCATAGTCTACCTGATGGTAAGTAAGTGAAGTGGTTGCCGTGACCCGTAGAAGATGTCTAGGCTAGGATCCCCGATTAAGAATCAAAATGCGGATACGTTGTCATCTTTGCGGTCTAAGTTCTATTTTAGCCTTCTAGTTCTTACCTGTAGTAATATTAGTAATAAAATTTATTCTTATCGCTCACAAATTTAGTAATTAACACAAACATACAAATTAATATTAATATACTACAATCAATTTGTGAGAAAATAGTGTGCGTAGTAGGATTCTCTGTATGATGGATCATCAGCCATCATCTACAGACCAACTTATAATCTAGGTAATATTAGGTGTATGATAAACGATAAATACATGAAAGGCAACTGTATGTGTGTGTGTAGTAAAAAGGGTATCCGATTCTCTACACTGGTCATACGAAACACGTCATCATTATTCTGTTGCTTCACGCCATTATTTTGTTAGAACGCGGTCCTACCCTGGTCGAGCCAATCACTCTCTGTTCAGTCAATATATTATCTATAATCGATTCATTCATTACAGAGTATCACAAGTCCTCTGCTGAACATAGGCCTCCCTCATAAATTACTAAAAGGAAATATTGTCCGTTCTTCGTGACTTGACGCGTAATCCGATTGGCAGCACTGTAATTTACAGTGTTGCGTGTTTCAATGTGTATAGCGTTCCCGAAATGTAGGGACAGGCATTATGGAACGGGATATAAAAACATGCATACACGTATATCAAGCACAAGGTTGCGCCACCTAATTTTGTGATTGTGATGGACAATGCACCATGCATTGTCCATCACAATCACAAAATTAGGAATTTATAAAGTTATCGCTAACCATGTTATCATGGTAGTCGGATGATTTTGTTTGTGACTTGAATAGCAGTAACGCATTATTAATGAAGCCGTCTGTAGTTCCAACGTGTGTAATTATCCATCCCCTACTCTTACCTGAATCTTTGACCAATACACCTTTAGAATCTAACTGCCAACATTTTTGCACCCCATGTGATGTATGAATAAATGTTTCATCTAAGTAGACAATAGTCCGTCCCTCTTCTCAGTATTTTTAATTTCATTTCATTTCATTTCAATCTTTGTAATTAGTCACCCTAAAAATATACCAGTCATGGCGGCAACTCGTGCACGAATTTTTCGTAATGGCATAATCAGCTTGTTTTCAGCCTTTTCTCAAAATGCGTAAACTCCGAGAATATTTTGTCTTTTAGCATTTTTAACCACTTCCGTCACTTTTAAAACTAAGATTAAAATATTAAAAAGCAAAAGAGCACACAGATGACCAATCACTCACGTGTCAAGTTAAAATGAACGGACAATATGCAGTAGTTCACCATAGGGTCCATAGGTATTCAAACAACACTACACAACGGTGTTGGTGTGTCTTTCTTAGTTTAGTGGGATTAGTGATGACAATGATAGTGCATGCAATGAGATCTAAAAATTTTACGCTCACCAGTTGTCTCCAGTTGCGAGTGAGATGAATTTATTTGTTACCTACGAGCACTTAACCCTATAGAGACGTAATACAAGGCGACCCGAACCTGTCAACTCGTCAGTGACTAGTCACTGATATATTTCGGACCACTTTTGTTTCCCGCCAGTTGCGACCAAAAACTAGAACCGAAGAGACGGCTGGCTTACATTTAAAATATAAATTAAAATCAATTTACGGCATCATGTCTTGTTGTGCCGTTAAATGGTGCGAAAACAACAGTAAAACATGTAGTGTAACACCAAACAATATTACTTTTTATCGGTAAGTACATTTCTTTATTTTACCAAAATATTTTCAACATTTTTATTACGCAACGAGGGTCAAGTTAAACTGGACTATCTGCCATGCGTCACTCCCCGTCCTTTTTGCATTTACTGCAAACATGTATGTCTGTCTCTCCTTATCATAATTAGCCTCGTGACGCTAATGACTAGTGCAGTGCGGTATATTTATTTTGTATTGTCGATAATTGTCCACAAAATGATTATTGTATTTAGATATCGTTGTTTTGGATATATTAGATATAGACAGATACATAATTTATTAATACACAGATATATATATATATATATATATATATAATATATATATATATATATATATATATATATATATATATATATATATCTTTGGATAAGTACGATAACAGTGTTATTTTATTTAAACTGATCTTTCCTTATAGGTTTCCAAAAGATGGTAATATGAAAAACAAATGGACTAATGTTACAAAAATCAAAATATAGCGTCATGTGCTCAAAACATTTTACTGAAGGTTGGTTTTTGATGACAAACAAGAAGCTGCGACTAATGAGAAGGGCAGTACCTACGCTGTTTTTCCTCAGATGCAATACCTGTATAAAGGCTTTAGTGTGGAATGGAAAAAGTGGTAATGGAAGGTTAATTTATCCCTCACAAATGGTCGTTAAAATATGTCGGCGTTGCGAGTCCGTAATCAAGAAAGATTTTATTAATAGTGACTCTAAAGGAAAAATCACCCCTGAACTGTTGACCCATAAAGCTCTTAGCAGCTTTACAAAAGAACAATTATTCCCGGAGTATACACATCATCAATTTTATGCCGAAGAAACCAATCATATTATTGATTTAACGAAAAGTGTAATGAAGAAATATATTGACACAAGAATGACATTTATACTTAAAATTCAAAAATTGGAATGTGCAGTTAGGAGAATATATACAAGATTAATTCATTTTAAAAATAAATAATAGCACTTAATAAAATAAATGAGTAGTCCACTTGCAAAATGCGTTATATTGATTGACTAATTAATTAGGAAAATTAATTAAAACATTATATCTGTAAAAGTAAGTTAAGAAAATATTGTTACTTTAGTATACGCTTAAGTGGTATTATTTAGAATTATTTTATTATAAAAAATAAATCTCAGTATAACATTAATCTTTTAATTTGAATATTAAAATTGAACATAACAAGTTCTGCAAAAGTATTCGTAACATAAACATTTTTGCAGTTGTATGGAATTAACATAGATAGTTTTGAATCAGTTTTTCACTTATGTCTTAAAACTAAGTTATTAATAATTTTAATAACTTAGTTTTTTTACACTGTTATATCTATTTCATCTTCCATTAGAGTTTCTTCAGAGTAAGTTTCTATTAAATTACTTTTATTTTCTTCTTCTTGTATAAACTTATAATGTTGAAGATTTTCAATAGTAATCCAGTCTTCTCCGAAATGTTTAATCAATAGTTTTCTCACGTCATTTAATTTTTCTGTTTTTACAGGAACTCCAATATTCATCAACGTAGGTTTAATATTTTCATAAGACTTTCCTCTTTTACAAACATTCCCATAGTTGACCGCTTCAGATACATAATTAGGTTCCCCTTTGATTCCAATTTTATTATTCTTATCTTTTCTCAGGAAAAATCTTTTAGAAGCATTAAATTTGAAATGCCACGATCCTGGTAATTTCAGCACATTTGTAACGCTTGTTTTCCAGTCATAAAACTGGAAGTCTGCACGAGTACGTTGGCGTCTTAGCGCCATTTGCAAGTGAATAGTAACTTAGACAGTTTTGTAAGTGAAATGTCAAATATCATAGCAACTTTTGTAAGGGTATACCATATTTAGCCTCAAATTATTCGTAATGTAGCGAGTTTTGAAATAGGTAACAGTTTTTAAATTTCAAATACAATTGCCGCCATTGCAAAAAATACCATTTTAACTTAGAGTGGTTTGCAAGTGGATTACTCAAATATAACAAATAAACATGAAAATCTTTTTTATTCTCTTTTCAATCTCTCCGTACTGCATCGTAGTGCCTCGAGCTTGAGCAGAACTATCTTGCCTATCTTCTACGGGGCCTTTTTATAGTATAGGGTGACAAACGAGCACACAGTACACATGATGGTAAGTGGTTGCTGTGGCCCATAGACGTCTACATCTATACTCGATTACGAATTTAAATGCAAATGTGTTGTCACCAGTTGTCACCCATGGGGAATGGAATGCCTCGTTTCCAGTAAAAAGGGTCGCCGGTTCTCTACACTCACCATACGAAACACAGCATAAAGCTACTATTTTACGCTGGTATTCTGTGAGAGCGTGGTCCTTCCCCGGTCGAGCCGACCCATTCATGGTACAACTATACTACTAATATAACTGCAGCATGGCTCTACCACGTATTAAATATTTTAATTTTTTATGTTAAAGTAATTTTATGTTAAAAGTCAACAAATCACTAAAAGTTTATTTTAAACTCCTTTAATTTAATCTTTTTTCGAAGTTGTCATTTATGATTAAATGTTGTCATTTATATTTTACCTGAGTATACTTGAAATGTTAGTACATTTAAAATTGCATTTCTTAGTTGCACAGGAAAATTGAAGTCACAGTCAAAAGCTAGTGACTGATACTGAAAGCATGCATTAAAAAAGCAAAAAAAATTATCAATATCGATAGAAAGCATAAAGTCATTAATTACAATGCACGCCCTAGCGATCGTGTTCGGAATCTCTTCGGAATAGTTCGGAGTACTTCGCAGCGATCACAACTCCCCCCGCGCTGCAACTAGTTGACAAAATTGTTTTCTTTTAAATTCGCATGGATTACTTCTCTATAGAGTTAAGTGCTCGTAGTTTGTTACTCAAGGTCATAATTTGAGAGATTCCATTTTAAATAAAGGTTTATCGGTATTTAAATTGTGTAAATACACAAAACAATGATCTTTTTAAAGCTGTCCTTCTTTTTCTATAATCTCTGTATTTATGCGTAATTTAGTTTATCCATCTCAAATGTATTTATTAAAAAAATATAACTTATATTTCAAAAAGAAATATTAACTCATACATTTTCCGAACAAATTAGCGTAACCCGCTATGAAATCTTTTAAATATTTTTTGTCATTACTATGTGGTGCCGCCCAGGTGGCGGTAGAAAAGTCGTGGTGGATGATTGATTGATGATGATTCATTGAGGGAAGATGAGTGATGCTCTTCTGACTATATAGATTTTTAGATCTTAGTTAAATAATTTTAATAACATATTCTGCAAGGTAACGCCTGATTGTAATAATTAATTTCGAAATGTGACGCATCAGAGTAATGTGAAAATTTTTGTGTACAAAATACTAGATAAACTAGGCTGTATATAACATATTCTTTTGCCTTATATAAAAAAGTAGAGTGTTGCATGTTTGGCGGGACAGCGGGACAAATAATTTTTTAAATGTAATAATCTAGTGGATGTTGTTTTAGTTTGTAAAATTATTTAACAGTTCCAATATTCAATTAATCAAAACTTTAATATTACCTTTGTATTGTATGCAGAGATAATGATTAACAATATGTAAGAATTAAGTATTTTTAAGATTAATATTGAATGTTAAACTAAATACTACGTGTTTATATTAATAAAGTATGCAGCAACGACTTTTCAGACGTGTTGGATGACGAAATACATAACAGCCAACCGATTTCCTTGCCGTCTTCTAGTACCACTGATCCAGAACCACATGATATAAAAATAGACAGACCCCCAAAGAGAAGTGGTGAATGCGGGGGCTTAAGAAGTATTGAAGAAATAGGTTAGTGATATTTTGTAAATTTATCGAAATAATGTTATAAGTTACGATTTGAGCTATTATTAACTTCCCATTTCTAAATTTACATAGCTAATGGTTTCGAGAATGGAAACAGTATTAATTGCGTTGCGATGTAGTAAAATGGGATGTTCATAGTGAAGCTAGACTGAATCGCGCTTACGCCCATTATTATAAGTGCAATTAACAATTTCATTGGTGCCGGCGGGGTTCGAAACTGAGTTGATCAGGCCTCCCCTCATTTCTGAGAGGGTTTTGTTGTACTTTTGAAAACTTTAAGCGAATATATTAAAAATCTTCTGTAAGCGCACTTGTTAAATAAATAAACAGCATAACAAATAATATATGTAAGTTGTTAGGTATTTTGTTTATACGGCATAAGTAATGAAAAAAACAGAAAACATTTCTTTTCGTTGTCGTTACGGTTGTGTCGTAAAAGTAGATTAAAGCAAAAATGCCTAAAAGTGTCGTGTTCTTCCATAGAGAGAAAAATAACTACGAATTAATAAAATGTCAACAATGACGTTCTCGACAACTTCCAAAAACTCCCGGAATCTTTAGACAGCGTTCGCTTTAGGTAGATATTTTAGACTGAAAAGTAGACGCACTAACATAGAGACCCGTCTTAATCTACCCGCGCCTGATATAACGATTACGCGGGAAGATCCTAAGCAGTCTACGCTAGATATATGGATTCAACCACAACAAGACCCAAACATATTATTCTGTGATAACATCAATTATGGTATTACAAATAATAACAATACAAAACACCCATGGACCAAAAATAAGTTAAGGACCCAAATAAAATAAAAGAATCTGAAATAAGATAGACACGGTAACACCGGACCCAAAAACCAACAATTTGTGTTCTTACACCAACGGTCTGCTTCGAATCGAACAACCTGAGTTTCGGTGTGTTGTAGCGAAGTATATTGACCATTAGGACATCGGATGATCCACGTAAAGCTCATTCATTTTACTCATTTATTTTTAAAAAAGACGTTACCTCCACAGTAAGGTTTTCTCCTGTATCGTGGAAGCAGTTTACAGTCATAACTTGCGCAATGATAAAAATCCAGACGCGGAACAATTATTTGTAAGTCATAGAAATGCATGTTATGGATTCGAACCCACGGCCCACCGCGCAACAACTCCCTACTAAGCCACTGCACTAATCGGATCAGTCAATTCGGCTAAGACAGTTATAATTTGTGCAATATCACTTTATTAGTTCAAATTCGTGTTTAAACAACTTCATCAACTGTGTACTTAAATATATTTTTATTACAGATCCGAAATATAGGAATGTATTTTCATACCAATACTTCAACCTGGTGCAGTCAAAAGTTATTGAAGATGCTTTGTATTCAGGTATTAATATAATGTTTTTTTTAAATTTCTGTTACATTTTTAATATTTTAATATATGGCTGTTAGTTAATTTAACTTTAAGTATTATCTTCTGAATTTTAGTACTGAAAAAAGGTCGCTAATATCGTTGGAGCAACTTTTCAGTCTTTACAGATGAAAATCTAAACCGAGTAATAACGACGTTTATAGACTGAAACTAAATTATTATCAGCCTTTTGATTCCACTCCTTGATGGAAAAATCGTTCAATTATTGCTAGCTAGTTGACACATACTTCAAAAATTAATCTTTATTAATTTTATCGCTTTTAAATAGCATTTCGCACTTTTCATTTTTATCGGCACGTAAAAATCCATTGCTGTCCAATGGCTTATACTCATGTAGAGCTTGGGCAAAACATCGTATTTTAGACACGACAAAAATTAATCTTTCTTAATTTAATCGCTTTTAAATAGCATTTCGCACTTTCCATTTTTATCGGTACGTAAAAATCCATCGCTGTCCAATGGCTTATACTCCTGTAGAGCTTGAGCAAAACATCGTATTTTAGACACGAAGAAGACAAGAAAAAGAGAGCGCTAATAGAAAGTCTTTAGCGTTAGAAATAGGCGTCGTATTTTAGGCATGACGCTCGATTAACAGAAAAAGGAGCGTTAAAACAAAGTCTTTAGCGTTGGGAATAGGCGTCGTATTTTAGGCAGACGCTCGAGTAACGAAAAAAGTAGCGCTAAAAGAAATTCTTAAGCGTTGGCAATAGGCGTCGTATTTTAGGCACGACGTACAAGTAACGAAAAAGGAACGCTAAAAGAAAGTCTTAAGCGTTGGGAACTTGGGAATACCTCGTCTTTATAATCACGCTTGGCAGACGGATTAATGTCCAGTCGTTCCAGACGTCACGGACGTTAGACGCTGCTGCCGTTCGCCATTCTAGGTATTTTACGCCTGGCGCAAACGAGATGATAAGACCGCTATCTATCGGATACCATAAGATTTTAATGGCATTTCTCATAGTCGCCTTTTACGATAACCGCTGGAGAAAATGGGGTCTGTTCTCTTAGGCAGTCATTACACGGCAGATAACATATTATAGTAGTGCATGGCAAATAACATTGTATAATGGCACAGATGTTTGCACTAATTCAAAGATACTTGACCTAGCATTGGGTTGTTGTTTGGTACTTATGTCCGATGTGATTTATATACTATAAGTTCTTGTGTACGACGCAGGCTTGAATGGAGTACGAGTAACAGGTATTCAATAATCATACGCATCCAGATCTCAAATCGATAATTTAGGTTTTTGCAAAGTTTTAATTACGGAGACAGTTTGTACGGGAAATGTGGCGTTGGAATTTAGTCCTCAGGGGTGACAAGACTTCCGCATTTTGATTCATAATTGAGGATGGCTGTAGGTGTCTATGGGGTACAGTGTTTGGGTACTATCAGATGGACTGTATGCTTGTTTATCACCCCTATTTTAAAAAAATAAATTCGAAGTATTATTTGAATACTTAACGTTTTTGTGTAACGCTTCAACTATATATTAAACAAAATAGTTGCATTTACAAACTTAAT